CTTAATTGAGGCAGCCACAGGATTTCGGGCCGGTTGTAGAGGCGCCAGCATCCCTCGGTCGGAGCAGTTCCATCCTGCCCTGCCTGGCCCGGGACCAGGCGCGGAGGGCTCGGGGGTGTTTGGGCTGGGGCGGTGTCTGAGGCGAACTCACAGAATATCCCGGCTCGGAAGGGACCCACAAGGGTCGAATCCAACCGAGGGCTCCCCCAAAACGCCACGGACCGCCCTGAATTCCGCGCATTTTTGCCCCTCCGTGCCAGGGCAGGACCCTGACGGGGCCGTTCGCGCCCGCGGTAACGCCCCGTGAGGGGCAACTCGAGGCGGCGGCGGGTTTTAACCCCCCTCCGGGGCTCCCCCCGGGCCTCTCGCCGCCCAAACCGCCGCTCCCGGCGGCCGTTCCGGGCACCGGCCCAGGGGCCGTTCCGGGGCCGCCTCCCCGCGCCCCGCCCGCTCCCCCCGCGCTCGGGCCCGGCCGGTGCCACCGGGCGGTACCGGGCGGTGCCCGCGGCTCTCGCGAGAGCGGGGCGGGGCGGCCCCGGGGCGGGCGGCAGCGACGAGGAGGCGGCTCCGGAGCCCGCGGTGCCGCCCGCCTGTCACAGCGCCCGGGCCCCGAGCGCCGCCAGCACCCGGTGAGGGCCCGGGGGCCGCGGGCAGCGCCCCCGGCGAGGGGAGGGAAGGGGAGACGGGGGGACGGGAACCCGCCCGCCGCGCGGGGCTGCTCCCCGGCACCGGGCGAGGCCGGGCAGCGCCGTTCGGAAGGGGTGGGTGTGCGGCGGGACCGCGGTGCAGCCCCGCGGGGAGGCGGCGGGGCGGGCGCTGCCCGGCGGGGAGGGGCGCCCCGGGGGCAGCGCCGGGCGTTGTGGCGGCTCCCCCTGCCCCGGCCCGGGGTGCGGAGGAGCCGCAGGGCCGCGCCGGGCCGGGCCGGGCCGGGCTGGGCGGGTCCCGCCGGCCGCGCTGGGCCGGTGGCGGGCGGGGGGCGGCGGCTCCATCTCCTCCTGGCCCTCCGCTCCCCGGGTCCATGGCCCCCGAGCGCTCCATCACCCCACGGGGCTCCCTCTCCCCCCACCAGTCTCACTCTCTCCCCACCAGGGTCCATCTCCCCCCTATTGGTCTCCATCCCCCCCAGCTGGGTTCTGTTCTGCCACCGGGTTTCCGTCCCTCTCAGCTGGGCTCCATCTCCCCCCAGCCGGGCTACATGTACCCCACCGGGCTCCATCTCCCCCCGGCTGGCTCCATCCCCCCCAAACGGATCTCCATCTCCACCCCGCGTTTCCAGCACCGCCGCTCCCCGCGCCTGCCTTCACCCTCCTTAACTGGGCTCCATCTCCCCCACTGGTGCTCCATCCCCCCCAGCCGGGTCTCCGTCCCCCCGTCCGTCCCCCCGTGTCCCGCCGCTCCGTGCCCGTCCGTGCCCACCGCGGAGCCGCCCGGCGGCCGGGGCGGGCCGGGCCGTGTTGAATCAGGCGATGCGGAGCGCAGGCTGTGTCTGGGTGTGCGTGCGGAGGTGGTGAAAGTGTGGCGGGGGAGCGCGCTGGGTGTTTACTCCGGGGCTGGGCCGCTCGCAGGCAGCAGCAGCACAGCGGGGAGGAGGAGGAGGAGGAGGAAGAAGCGGCAGCAGCAGCGATGGCGCGGCTGGTGGCGGTGTGCCGGGACGGCGAGGAGGAATTCCCCTTCGAGAAGAGGCAGATCCCGCTGTACATCGATGACACGCTCACGGTGAGTGCTCCCCCCCGGGGGCCGCCCCGCGTGTTGCAATGCCCGGGCCGGGCCTTCCCCCCCGGCCGGGCCGCGCCGGCTCCTCGTTCATCGCGGGGACTTTGCGACTCTCGGCGCTTGAACTGCGCTGCCTGTGGCAACTTTGGCTTTATTTTTTTTTTTATCTGATCCGCGGCTCCCGAGGCGGGCAGGCCGCGGAAGAACGAGGGACTCGCTGCCGCGCTGGGGCCTGGGCACAACTTGTGTTGGAGCCACCGGCGTGTGCCGAGCCCAGAGGTGGAGCAAAGCCATTTTCCAGCCGAGGAGGAAGGGAGCCATGTTAACGTTAAAGCCCAGCTTAAAACCCTGTCCTTCCCCCGCTCCTGAACAGGCGAGAAAAGGCTAAAGGTGGTTGTGAAACCTTTGCCTTAAAGTCAGGCTTATTTAGCGTGCAGCGACGTGCTGCTGTGTCTGCAGGATCTGAGGGAGTTTCCCATTTCTGAATTGAAAAACGTGGTGGTTTTTTTTTGCTTTTTCTAGAATATTCAGTGGAAAAATCAGCTAAGTGCAGCCTAGAGGCTTTCTGGTCCTCCTTCTCCTGGGTTTAGAGGAAGGCTCAGAAATTGCATCGTGGGGAAACACATGGCAAAGTGAAAAAAATTCTCTGGCTAGCCAGTTGATGTTTGTTTTAATTTTTAAGGCATGAAAATAGCGGGTAGAAAATAATAGTGCACTTAGATAGTGTAATTTGGTATCTTGATTATTTGTATTTGATTTCTCTTGCTGTCAGTGTGACAGTACCTGCTGTTACTTTAAATGGTATAAAATGTGGGTGCTTTAAATTCCTGATCTCATGTTTAGTATGGAGGAATCCCTGAGTTTTATATCAGCTAACTTGGGCAACTCTGTAATATAATTTCTACTGGAAGGTGTCCTTGCTCGTTGCAGGGGGTTGGAACTGGATGATCTTTAAGGTCCTTTCAACCCAAACCATTCAGGGATTCTTCCATCTTCCAGAACAAAATAATTGAGTATCTTCAGACAGTCCCTTACCCTCCATCCAAATTATCTGTCTTGACCTCACCTGGTTTTGCTGCATCTGAAGAAAGGATCTTTGCTGTATTTTAGTTTTGATCATTTGAAGGGTGGCATATTATTAATTTACCAAACATCATCACTGTTTATGTCATCTCTGTTAACTGTGCTTATACATGAGGCAAAGTTTCCCCCACAGTTGTCCAGAACAATATCTATCTGTCCTAAAGGGATTTATGACCTGGAAAACCCAGCACTGTGCAGGAATAGTGTAAGTTTGTGGTTTTGGGTGTCTGGGTCACGCCTTTTAAGTTATTTTGCCCATCCATTCCCCATGGAGTTTTAAGCTCTTGGATTTTTCTCTCTTTATTTTATTTTCCTTGGACTCCCTAGTAAAAATTACCCACTAGCTTGTGTCATGTAGACTTGCCATGCTCTTGTTACCTTTGTTGTGTGTAATAGGTTGAGAAAGAGAGAACATTCAGCTGTACCAGGCACAGACAGATGTCTTCAGCAGGCCTAAAATTCCATTTGTGGTTTGGTCCTGGAATTTTAATGCCAGGCCCAAACTCTGTGTAATTGCACTGTGTTGTTACTGTCCTGCTGCTTTTTACACTGTCCTTGTGATTGAAAGGCTCCTCCAGCTGTAAATCAGTTTTGTATCCATCTGGAGGAGAGGCATTTATGCAAGTGCAAGTCATCCTTACCATGAAGAAATCTTATCTTGGGTCCATTTTTTTTTTCCCCTCCCATTATTATTGTTACAAAGTGCTTGGATTTCTAGGTGGTTTCTGGAGGCTTTTGTTAAATAAATCTGCAGAAGCAAGTGAATGAACTCTCAGCTTCCTTGTCTGCCATCTATAATTTATTTTTAAAATCCTTAATGAGAACAAGACGTGGAGCTGTCTTTGAAACAGAATTTTGCATCTGCAGCACTATCTGTAGAAAAATAGTGGTTATTGGTAGTAACTGGCTTCTGTTGACTTCATTTAAATCACAAATGTTACAGGTAGAGGAAGACTTAATCTTAGCTTTAAATCTAGAATCAGTGGTTGTAAATTAGGAGTGAATGGCCAGAGTGCTCTAAGCTTTGTAGTAGCACAGCAGGCAGTTGAGGTGCAGTGAGATACTCAATGGGTTGTGCACCACCACCACACTGCTCAGCTCCTTCTGGCTCAGCTAGAAATGAAAGGAGGTTTGAATATTGAACCCTTTTCATTTCTTAAGCAGCTTTTATGATTTCTAGGAGGCATTCCATTTGATGTGGTATTATGGGATTTTTTTTTTCCTTCCAGTTCAGGGTGTGATGGTGGTTGATGTTTAACCACTTAATAAAATCTCAGCAGACACATGAATTAATTTAGCCTTTGATTCTTTTGCTCTGTTGTACAAAATACCTGAGGGTGTTGTCTGATAGTGGGAGATGAAGGTGAGGGGGGAAAAAATAGGCAGATTTATCTCTTGCCTCTCTGTTATTAGCAGATAGAGCTTTTACTTTTGCTTGTAGCTCATGCCCCACAGAAACACCAAATTAACAGGGTAGGAAACCTGTAATTCTGCAGCAGAAACTGGTGCTGCTGCTTCGTGTGGATGGATCAGGGGCAAGGGAGGCTGGAAGGGAAATGCATGAGAGGTTGGAGTTGGCATTGGCTGCCCTGCACAAAGATGAGGCAGCTGTGCTGATGCTCAGATTCTGGCACAGGGGAGATCAAAATCCTGCCTCGCTTTCTGCCCCCAGAGAATCGGAGTTTATTTTGGAGCAGAGCTGAGAGCCTGTGAGAGTGTGAGTTCTCTGGAGAGAGGGGTGGCACTTAGGCAGCCAGCAGGGACTTCTGCCTTAACTGGGCAGCTGAGGGAAGGTGGAGGGAGGAAAAGGGATGAATCAGGCAATTTGGGTTGCTGTGGATCAGTATTAGTTATTCACCCAAGTTGTCGTTTTGTCTTTGGGATTTTAAAGTGAACTTTCACTGTTCATATTGACAAATTCTCTTTATTTTCAGCTTGGACAAGAACATAACTAAGCCAGGCTTTACATGTTTTTCTAGTTGCTTTCATTTTACTCCACAGTTGGATTTTCACCTGAAAATTATTTTACTGATTTCTGCCCCTCCCCAGGAAAGTGCCCTCTTTGTTTTTCAGTAATTTGATAAGAAATATTATTAATTACTTGCAAGTAATCACATTGTTCTGTAGGCTTAACATTTTACTCTGAGCCTCTTGAGAGTTGCAGCTGCAATCACACAAAACAAACTATGCCTTGGAGTACCTTGTTGGGTTAATATGGTTTTAAATTAGCCTTTGGAGGAGTCGACTCTGTCATTAAATTATTGTGGCTGTTTCTTCATAGCTTTATAAATTCACTTTGGCTGTTGGATGCATTTGGATCTCAATGTGTTGGAGTATGTTATTTTTAAAAACTGAAACAGGGTCTCAAGCCATGTAGATAATAATATAAATTCTGATGGTCCATTTAGCAACTTTTGCTTTCTCTCTGACAGCTATTTAAGAGTTGCCATTTATAAACTACCTCTAGAACATTGTATTAATGAAATATTTATTACTTTGCTGGGACATTTACTATCTTAAACAGTTACTTTTATCCTTTCTCAAGCTCCAATAAGCATGTGAAAAGTGTGAGCATTTAAGATAATTTTTGTCTTATTTCTCCCAAGAAAGTAAAACAACTGATGTTCTGTGTTTGGCTTTTTTTTTTTTTATGAAAGCTCTTTTTGAAATTTTTTTTCCTCTCTTTTTACAGATGGTGATGGAATTTCCTGATAATGTGCTGAACCTCGATGGACACCAGAATAACAGTGCACAATTAAAACAGTTCATTCAGGTAAGTACCTACTCCTGTTTTTTACTTTCCTTGGGTTTGTGCTTTTGCTTCTCAAGGGGTTGTGACTCCTGGAGTGACTTAAGACACGTCAGCACCTGTGAGCAATCCCATGTTGGTACCAAAGTGCACTGGGTTCCTTTGTTCCCTGGATTTCACAGCATTTATTACAGGTTGTCCTGTCAGGAGGACTGAAAACTTACCATGGAAACTACACTTTCTAAATACATTTTGATTCTTATTTTCCTAACTGGTTTTGAACTGCTTTTTCAAGTGGAAGTGGGCATTGCTTAAGGTTGAGTTCCTGTGATTGGTGCCGTGCCAGGGTAGAATTCACCTGCCAGTTTATACTTTATATGTAGTTGAGTAGTGAGAGATGGTTTTGTGGTACCCCTGGAGCTTTAATAATAGAAATAAAAGTGCAGCCCTGGGACACCTGTAGCAGCTGCAGGGCTGTGCCCTTGGTGTCCAGAGGAGCAGCCCCGTTGCTGCTCTGCAGTTGCACGTCCCCTCTCGTGGTTTGCCAGCATGTGCTGCATGTCAGACAGAACTGTGTTGTGAAAATAGCTCACTCCTGCTTTGCTGTGACTGGTGCCATTAATTACAGGAAAGAGGATTATTGCACAGTGATATTGCTTGTCAGATGATTTGATGGGCCTGCCTCCAGGAGCACAAACCTTAAATGTTACCTGGTGATAGCTCTATTTTCATAATGTGTTACATAAAAGGAGCTGAAAATATTTTCTCTTTTCAGCTGATGTATTGACACGTTCCATGGGTTTGCTGAGTTCTCTCATGTCGTGGGGCCTTTTCTTTCTTTCCCCAGAAGTTGTGACAAGGCATTTCTGCACTGGGAGTGTTTTGAGTGGTGTGATGTGACAATAATACAGAAAATACTATCGTGGCAGAACGTTCCCAGTGCAGATCCAGCTGTGCTTTGTGCAACCAGGGCAAAGTGACCCTCAGTCAATAAATACACTGACAGGATTCTGCTCTGACAGATGATGTTGGGAAGTGCCAGTGGTGCTGGCAGCCCAGGTGTAAATGTGTGTGTTGGAGAGTGAGGAAGGGACTGTCTC